ACATAACTTAAATTGATTTAAATGATTTATATCAGTTTGAATATGCGGTTAATTCTGTTGCATATTAGATGCAATGTATGTGTGCCACCAGCATAGATTTTATGCTTGCAACATGACCACTATTATTTGAAAACTACTCCCCCTACCACCGTCTGATAGAACCATTTATGGCCATTTTTATAGCAGTTAAACGATGTATGTTACAATGAATTGCAAAAGTGTTAATATTTAGATGTATTACACATTCACGTGTTATTTATTCGTGTGATATAATTCTTAAAACATACTCATTCATATTCATATTGTCGCACAAGACTATATTACCTTTACGGTACTTTTTAATTAAACTATCTAGATTAATTGAATTCTTTTTTGCTTTATTTATTTGTACATATTCAACTTATTGCATGCCAGAAACCAATTTTTTGTTTCGTTTTGTAACATTCAGTCATCGCGTGTTACTTATTATTTCACTATTTATTTACTCACATTTAAATCTACAAAAAAATAGTGAAAGAAAAAAAACAATTCAAATAATATCAATGTATTTTCATTTAATGATAATTTACCAATGCATTGCAGATGTTGAATGTATTTTATTGACAGCGAATCCCGATATCTGTTCTGTCGACAAACATTTTTTTGGTAATCTGTATTGAAGAACCTTCTACTGGATATAAAGCCACGCTTGACTGGTCACTGAATTCATATGCTAATCAAGCAAATGACAGGAGTGTGTCTGAAAAAATAAACTAAAAAATAAAATTGAATATTAAATCCTAACCACGCTTAATGTCTATCTTTTAATCCGGACAAAACCGTTTAAAACGTTTTAGGGAAAACTAACAAAATGTATTGACAGAATATTCAGTGCAGACCATGATTAGACGGATAGAGTCAGTTGCCGCTAGCAGGCTCAAGTTTAATTCTTTGTTATAATTATTCACTACAATTAATGGCATCAATATATAGTCCCCGTTATAAACATGAATATGACTGCTGATCTTGATATGCATTAATCGCATGGGTACAATCAGTTACCGCCAACAGGGACAAAACAGACCCCATCCACCTTCAATATATAATATGTCATGTACACTAGCTAAATATTATCATAAATTCCGATAGTTTGGTAAAATTAATTTGAATAATTTGATGTTTGAGATTAAATACAGCTCAAGCCGGTGCCAGGGTGTGTTAGTTGTTGCCTCTTCCAGTTTCTCACATGAACGGACTCAATCAAACCGAGGCCGTTATATATTTTTATTGCTCATTTGGGATTCCCATTTCTCAAAATTTGTATAATGTCTCTTGGAATATTAATTCTATTTAGCAATGGCCAAGATGGCACTTTTAGTATAATGAATATTTTCTACATTTTCTACGTTCACCAAATGATATTTAAACAAAACATTTTTTATTCTTAATGTCACAGAAATTTTGTATTTTATTTATACTTCAAGCTTTTCAAAGATTTGGAACTTTGCAAGCTGAAATATGTTGAATATATTTCTTCATAACTTTGATTGAAACATTTGTTGCTTGCCGAATTTGACCATTTTCTCGGAATTTGTTAGAAGTAGGTTTTTTCAAGGGGTAAATGCCTTGCCTAATCTTTGGTCCATAAAAGTCTTTCTGTAAGGTAACATTTTTTTGGAGAAGCTAAATGTATTCATTATTTACATGTTACGTTTTATGGATGTTGTAAGAGCTTTTTCCTTTTTCTCCTGCAATACGTTTTGTTTTATGCCATAAACAGGCTCAATCAAACCGAACCTGCAACATTTTACAAATTTGCCGTGTTGGGCTTTCTTGGGATTCTGTTTCTCTCTATTTTACTCTATTGCATAAGTTTTATTACAGTGTCTTCATATGGTCAGCAAAAGGGTTTCTGTGTACATTTGGCAGTATATGAGGTTTAATTTTTGGTCAGCTATAGATGATTTGTAAATTTAAATTTGTCAATGAAGTTGGTTGTATGAAATTCATGATATCGTCTTTATCTGTAGATTTGTAAGTTTACGATTATGCATTGATTAGAGGCCTGTATCATATGTTTACAGTTTATTTTGTCCAGTGAAGTTGCTGTTTACATTGCCTTTATTTTCATTTTGATCAATGTTGTATATGAAGTTTTGCAAATTATCTTCATTTTTGTCAGCAACCATTGTTGCATGAGGTGTAAGAAATCGCCTATATGTTTGGTCAGCAACATTTCTGTTGCGGTACAAGTGTTTATAGACAATTATTAAATTCATGATCAGACGCATTTGTTTCCTGGCACATCTCGTGAAAAACAACAAAGATAACATTTTGTTGAATATTTGCTTCTAAAGAAGCTTTTATGATTGAAATATCTATTTAAAAGACCCTCTAACGATTGATATAAGTCCAATTTGAGACAGTTATGAGTGAGAAAAAATGATAAGCCTTTCAAAAATATTTTTGTTCGTTAGAAGTTGAGGCTCAATAACAATTGTATGTACTTCTTCCATACTTCTCTTATCATATTTGATGCTGTACAGTAGTAAGGTTATCTTGTTATCACTTTCTCTCCCGGGGATAATGAGGTGCATGTCTTAGTTCCATGCATGAATGCTAGATCAATAGACCGCAGTTCCTGTATTATAGCTGATAGGCTAATGAAACATAGAGCTTCTCTTTCCCCCATGTTTCCGAAAACATTATTTCTATTGATAGAGCTATATCTATTATTATGCCTATTGAATTACACACATAAAGGGGATATGCTCCTCAGAGAGTAATGCCAGCAAAAATGTTAAGGTAAAAATAATAGAGGAAAATATTGTCTTCTTTTGATCGAGCCTATTCATGAGAGATAATGAACGGTGCAACAAATCTCATGCCCCCTAGCACCGGCTGAAGCAGTATTTAATCTTCAATATTAAAAGTATTAGAATCAAGGATCCCGAAAGGCAAATATTGCAATAACAATACTAAGATGAAGCTTAAAGCTTTCTTATTTTATGATAACAAGAAAACAGTAAATAAGTTCCGTGTGTTCTAAGATAGTTGAGTTACAAAATGCGGCTCTATAAACCTATCACAGACAAATAGATGCAGATGATATATTTTTTTTAATTGTTTGCGTTTTATTGAAATTGATTGAATAGGCCATGGGCATCAAAAGTATTTACAAAAGCATCATAATGTTATCTTTTGAATGCGTTTCTTAACATAAGTTGATTCTCAATATATTTTGCTTGAAATACAAACTGTTTAACATGAATAACATAATAATGTATCTTGTCATTAAAGTGCAGCGTAAGTTATATTGTCTTTTATATATAAAGTATACAAGATTGAATACCTAAGCCGGCCGGTGCTAGAGGCATAAGGATAAGGGATGTAACACTTTTTCATTATCTCTCATAAACAGATTAGATTCAACCGGGCCTGCAATTTTCATGTAATTTTATTTTTTCCATTGTTTCTTCCCCAGAGATCTTACCTTTTTCCAGATTTAAAGTAATTTACAAAGAACATGGTGGCTATATATAGAATAAAGATATCACGACACGTTTCCTTTCCGAACATACATTGGTTTTTAACGGGTTTTTTTAACAATATATTTATGTTGCATTTCCACATTGTAGCATCATGCGTATATTAACTTATTCTATATCATCACCAGGGAATGATCTGATTTGAATAAATAATTATATTAATGTAATCATATATGTTGAAGATTAATATATGTTTGTGAAGTGTCTAAAATTCCACATTTTGAATACATTCTAAAATAGTGACTTGATTATGCCATTTGTTAATAAGGCCAATCTAAAGACTCTTTAATGTTTATAAATTTAGAATTTTGATTTCAAAAAGGACATTTTCAAATATACAGAATAACATGTTAGTTATGAAAAAATAGGGGCTTATAGAAAGCTATCATTTTCAGCAAAAAATGATATAATTTAGCATACAACTGTTACTTTGAAAGGATTGCATGAAATAATTTAAATACAAGACATTAGATTATAAAGAAAAACACAAACGCCATTGTTAAAAACGTCATAGCTTTATTGTCTTCTTAGACCATCAACCATTTGATAATACACATATTGGTGAACAAATTAACATGTGTTATTTTTCTATAATATATTTCCGCAATTTATTTGAGCCGCGTCATGACAAAACCAACATAGTGGGTTTGCGACCAGCATGGCTCCAGACCAGCCTGCGCATCCGCGCAGTCTGATCAGGATCCATGCTGTTCGCTATCAGTTTCGTTACTTGTAATAGGGTTTATAAGCGAACAGCATGGATCCTGATCAGACTGCGCGGATGCGCAGGCTGGTCTGGATCCATGCTGGTCGCAAACACATTATGTTGGTTTTGTCGTGACGCAGCTTATTTAAAGGTTCAGCACACAGTGGGTACATCATGAATTTTGAATTAATAAAAATCCCGTCATTAGTAATTTAATTGTAAAAATAAATGTGACATTTTCTATGTGAAGCGGTTTCAAGTGATTAATTTTCAATTGATATATGTTTGTATGTTAATATAAAATTACACCTAAATTATGGATTAATTTTTATTGAAAATTCCATCCCATATTGAAACTCATTTGTAAACCGACTTTGTTTAATTGAAATATATTGATTTTAAATGCACACTTTTATTGTTTAATATGTATTAGTATGTTTGTATGTATGTATGTATGTATGTATGTATGTATGTATGTATGCATGCATGCATGCATGCATGCATGTATGTATGTATGTATGTATTATTAAAAGGCAGAAACATTCTTTTTCAATTAAAACATTTTTTTAATAATAACACAACAACATTTCCCGGACACACAGCAATTTAACCCTATTAACAACAAGTTCACAGTATTGTTTATTTAAACTTTTTATTTCGCTAACAAATATCACAAATTAGAATAAGGAGAACTAACACATGTTAAATTAATTCAGGCCTCTTTTCCAACATTATGCTTTCTGCCCTATTGGTTATTACGCAATAAAGATTTTTTTCATTGGACGTTTGCGTAACCCGCTCTATGCGAGGGCGTGTTTTGCCTTTATGAATACAACGTAGCTTATTATCCTAAAACAACATATTTTACCAGGGCCGTGTATGGATATTTTCCGGGGCAGTGAATCGGAAGTGAAGGTTCACAGTTCATCTTTAAGGTTATTACCTGTTGAGAAGCATATCAGGTAGTGACCAAAGGTGCTCATATCTTTTTTATTGACCTACTTAGTAAATTGTTGCGAAATTATAAATGCAAGCGGGGAATACTTTTATTTGTATACAACTAGTTCAGAATGAAGAATGCAAGAAACAGGTTCGTTTTTTCATATTAAGTAGATTAATTTATTCAATGTTTTATTGTGTGAAAATGAAAAATATGAAATTTAATCGTTTAAGGTTTAAACGTCGTATTGATTTTAAAAATGTTAATTAGCTACTTAACATATTGTATCTGATGGAATTTGTGTGTTAGTGGGAATTTTTTTATGATATTTAACTTCTTATTGTATGATAAATCTTAATAAATCCCATGAATTGACCGTTGATTATTTAAACGTACATTGACACAATATAGACGCGAGAAGGTATTAAAATCATAAAGCAATCTTAAGTACGTTCATATTTTTGTTGACTCAATATGAACATCTCTTTCAATACAAGAACATTCATGGAAGACGTCAAAATTGTTAAATATTCTTGTCCTAAACAAATATTTGCTGACAGTCTAATGCAGGAAAAAGGTAGTTTAGGTCAAAGCAACGGACCGTTAATTCTAATACACTTTTTATCATTCAGACCTCATAATTAAATGTATTTCACACATTCCACTCTACTGACCTATATTTCAAACATCGTGTGCACTTTTCTATATTTTCGTTTCACCGAATACAAGTTTTACATGAATTAGGTTTAAACTTAAAATTGCAAATAAACAGTAATTGCATAAACAAAATTTTAATGAAAGAAAAAAATATTAAGATATCGCCTACACAAATGTTTGCATAAGATAACCTCGTTTAAAGCTTAAAAGCATTTTTATATTTACTCTGCCCTAGTTTAAGTTGAGAATGGAATTCTTAAGGATTTTGACCCCATTTTCCCGTTCACACGCTTCCGGAAACGATTAAGTGCTGAGGTTATTTTTGGGGTTTTGATTTCAATGTCATCTGGTACCTTTGTATTGACTCTCCCATTTTTTTACCAGTTTGTTAAAATATTAAACCTAGTTTTTTTAATAACATTTCCATTTATACCACAACTCACAAATGAAATGTAGTTAACCACAAATTTAACAAAAAAGATAACAAAAAACGATTAAATATCAGTATTGAAGAGTTAGCCAACCCTATCAGCTCTTTTGCTACTTATGTTAATGAATTCCAAAGGAATTTCAAAGATGACGGACTGTATGGTGCATTGCCCATGTTCAAGTGTAATGCATGGATTTTTCTTTTACGGGCATCCAGCACCCTTTCTGTCGCCTCGCAGGATCACTCTAGGCTTCCGTACGTCTGTTATGAATGAAATATTTTGTTCTTGGATTTGATGATTCACTATGCATTTCTTTCTTTTTATATCTTTTTATATTTGATACGAATCGAGATATTTTAACATTGTGATAAGCATCCGGTAGCATAGATCTGCAAAGCATGATTCTTGTTTTCTTCCAATGTTTTCGAACCGTGTTAGTTTTCGTTCTATTATGTTGTCATATTTCTCGTCTCGTGTCCACATTGTGTTTATTATTTCTGTATACATGAGGCTGAATATCCCGTCATGTGACCAATACTGCCCACTGGCTGAAAAGAATAACGGACACAGTTTTAGCTCTGTTTTCTGTAACAACACATTCCAATATGGCGTGCTATTGTTGACCTACTAGAGATGTTAGTTTGAAATTATGAATATTCTTACAATAATAATATCATTGAATTAAACAGGGAAACCAATCTGTATATCATAAAGTAGAATGGTCAGTATTTATGTTGCTGAAATACCGCTTTTATAAAGAGGGAAACATGATATTCTGTAAACAAATATGACAGTAAAAATATCATAGAAAATTCCGTTCTTCTGATTTCTACATATTTACACTTTAACACTTTATTTAATTTTAAAGAAGTAAATGGTCTTTTTGATATTTACATTTGTTTCATCTTAACTAGCTTAATTTTGTTTAGAAAAATTTAAAAATGTTTAAATATTAATATTTCAATGACTAATACTTGAGTGATTCTAAAAATGTTATAATACTGAACATTTCATTTCATTTCCCTTTTCTTCTTTTTCCCTTTTTAAAGATAAAATATCAGTAATCTAAAATAACTAAATAGTGTGATAGAGGAGAGGATTCATTCAACATTGAAATAAAAATAATATCAATATTTTTAACATCCAGTTTTGACAATATTTGTTTGTCTAATTTTATTTGATGATTCAATTTTCTGTTTACAATTTAACTCCATTCTTTATTTATAAATAGCTTTTAATATTTTTTGGACTTACTGTACTTTAAGGGGACACCAGGAAAGAAAAGTACTATTTTTATGACTCATGAACAAGAAATATAAAATGACCTATACATCTACTAATAAATTATGTTTATATATTCAATGTTCTGTGTTACTTTAGCTTGTTAACATGAAGAAATGTTCTTTTTTCTCTTCATGTTTAATCTGTTATTAGTTTTTCAGTGTGTGTTTTCTTTCATCTGACTCTATTTTGACAACAAAATATGTTTGTTTTTACTTGTTTTTATGATCTTTATCTTCCTTTGGTTTTATTGTTAACATTAAGGAACTAGATGTCAAAGAAAGAAGGAAATCTGAATCATATAATATATAACCAATTATATTATCATTGATTTGATCTTCTATGTTTTAGCCATTTTGAAAAATTCCCTTAGTATAAATTATTTTATATGATTTATTTGCTTTCTTTCAACAGTTTTAACAATTTTAACAATTATAATTATTCTTTGGAAATAAGAACTCATATGTTTTTGATATAGTAGTTAGTTAGTTAGTAAGTGAGTTGGGAAATGGAACTGTTTAACCATAAGTGAGAGTCTAAAGTGTAATTTTAAAAAGTATATTTTTAATGTTATATATAGAAATTTTGAAATATGTTCAATATCCTAATTTGTTGAGATTTAAAATATGGTCAATAATAGAAATAATATCAGAAATATTGATATTATTTCACACAATTTCAAACATTCATATAGGGATACACCAATATTTTGATAGTATATGAATAGCATATGTTTTTTTTAACATACTTGATAAATTCAATGAACACTAATATAAAACAATAAATATAATAAAATATTCTATGATTTTGAACAGATGACATTTGATTAAAAACAAACAACAACAAAAAAACACACAAACGCTTTCAGTTATTGTTCTATAAAATGTTACATTAAATGAGTTTTAGATAGATATGCTTTTTGTAGTATTTTCATCATTTTCATATGGTTTTATCATGTAAATATTGTAATACATGTGAAATGTATTTTTGTTAGCCTTAATTTGATTATTTATAAAATTGTATATGAAAGCAAATATTATCAGAGTTATAGAATCATTCTGATACAATGAGAATTTTTTTAAAAGCCCTTTTGATGTGTATGTTTTAAAAATGGAATTAAGTTGTCCAAACATTATTTTGAAGAAAAACATCTTTCTTTGTTTACCAATGTACTTGATTTCAATTAACCCTTTTTGTTTTGATTTATAAAGTTAATGTAGTATATCCTTTCCTTTAAGCATATTAAAAAGCATTAAAATACAAAGGCAGTTATATAAACTATTACTACAAAAAGGTATGCTTTGGAAAATTTATATTTTATCTTGTAAACTTTACCTTGCATATGTTAGAAAATCCTATTTCATATATTAAAATCCTTATTTTCTGAGGCCAAAATCATTTTAAATTTCAAAACACTCTGAAAACTGAAAATGGACAAATTTTGTGACCATTGTAATGGTTTGAAAAAAGAGCCATACAAAATCAATACTTGGGTATTTTGTCCCCCATGTGTTTGCTGATATCAAGCCAATGACCCCTGGTCTCCATAGAAAATTTCTTGATGCCTTTGTTAGGTCGGAGAAAATGAACCGCTGCTTTAACGGGTTTAGGCCACCGTTCATGGTTTGAATTTCAGTTTTTCAAGTGTCAAAATAGTTTTTTTTGCAATAGGAACTTTTTGGTGTCATTTTCTATCAAACCTTTTACTGTTTCGTAAAATATGTTTTTCATAATTTAGTTCTAGATTGCACGCCTTTCTCTTACGGAGCGAGACGATCAATAATGGAACTAATAATTATGTGAATATATTTATATGTTAGTTACATTATTTCCGATGTAAAGCAGAGAAATGTTAACGATGTTTTTTTTTTCTGTTTTGTAATGATTTTGTTAAAAAAGGAATATAACTGTAAGCTTAAAAGAAGTATTTTTAATCACTTAAATGACATTAAGTTAGTGAGATATTTGGTCAGTTTGATGTGAATGTGTTGGATAAAAGATTAAGATTTGTTTGATGTTTTAACTTCAAGCGTTAACTTATTACGTTATTGCTGACCTTTCATACGTCCAGTAAATGGCCCACTTCAAAATCAATTTATAGATGAATAGCTATGAATCCTTTCCCTTATTTCCCTCAAGAAATTTCCTTACCTGACCCCATGCAAAAATGCATCCTTTTCATGAGGTAATGTATTACAGTGTAAAGACGGGGTCACACTGGTCAGTTCATGACCTCGGGTTGACTTGTCCTGCTTCTGTCTAGAACCACTGACCCGACAATGCCCCGCTGTAACCTAGAGTTTCAGCATCAATAATTTCATTGACCATTTACAGTGACCATGTTATATAGTCATTTGAAAGTGTTCATTGACTTTCATAAAATTACGGAAATTAAACTACGTTGACTTTTATGCAATTTTTGTAATTATTTTAACCTTTTATTCATTAATTTACTACAAATTAAATGGATGTAAAATGTAACGGATTTAATTGATGTTTGTGACATAAAAAATACAAGAGTTTACTTTGTTTGTTTATGTCTTGTAAGTTAGTTTATTTGAGTGTCATTAGTTAACGAAGACTTTAACCGAATTCGTAAGGAAAAGTACAAGCACGCAGTGACAAGATTTATAACATTCTTTAAGAACGTGTCAATATTTTGTGAAAAGCAATATTTAACATTGTTGTTTTTTTGGATGTGTATGTATGACATTTGAATAAGTTAAAGTAAGTAAAAGAAACAGGTTTTGAATATTTTGTGAAATTAGTTTAAAGCTGTAA